AGTAATAGTCGTCGTGGTGGTGGTAGTAGTAGTAGTGGTAGTAATAGTAGCGGTACTAGCAATAGTAGTAGTAGTAGTAGTAGTAGTAGGAGTAATAGTGGTAGTGGTACTAGTAGTAGTACCAGCGGCACCAGTAGTAGTAGTAGTAGTAGTAGTAGTAGTAGTAGTAGTAGTGGTGGTAGTAGTAGTAGTAGTTGTTGTTGTTGATGTTGCTGTAGTAGTAGTAGTTGTTGTTGTTGTTGATAGCAATCCTAGTACTAGTATTAGTACCTGTAGTACTGGACTAGTGGTATCCATCCCTGCGTTCCCTCCTTCCTATCTGCCTTCATTCATTTCTTCCTTCCTTGCTTCCCTTCTTCCTGCGTTCCTGCCTTCCTTCCTTCCTTCCTTCCTTCCTTCCTTCCTTGCTTCCTTCCTTGCTTTCCTCCGTCCTTCCTTTCTTCCTTCCTCCCTCATTCTCTCCTACTGAAAAGGTGAAAGTTTGTTTGTTGGCAAAACATTTGTTTGATTGGAAGAAAAAATTGTTTTTTGATTGGCATCCCCAGCCCCAGCATTCGCCCGGAACCTTGTCGTGCGCAGGACTGAGCGACGTGGAAAGCCGGACAGGCAACACCAGCCGAACGGTGATGTAAGCCGCGGGGTGCACGCGTGCGTGTATCTAAGTGGGAAGTATGCGCGTGGCTGATGCTTGGTCTGCACGTGTCTGTACCTGTGCAAGTGCGTGAACAACACGAGACATGTTACATGTTTGCTGCTGTGCTGCAAGCATGTGGCTCTGCCTGCAAGGCTCGTAGGTGCAGGAGTGTTTTTGTGCCGCCAGCTAGCAAAGCCTTGTGTGAGCATTTCGCTTTTCCCGCCCACCACGACCCTGCAAAATGTGGTGGATGGGGATGTCGACTCGGCCCTGGCCTTCTTTGAGGAATGATCTCTTCTTGTTTGGGCCGATTGAAGCTCGAGAGTCTCACTTGCTTTCGGGATTGCTTGAGACTCGTCGTTTCTCCACCATCTCAAGGTAGAAAAGTGAGGAGCGGTGCACGTGTGCTTGCAAGTGACTCAGTGATTGTGCTGATAGTCCTGCATGCTAGCTCACTTGCCTTGGTGTTGTGATAAGCCGTGTAGCCCGTGTAGCTAAAATACTTCCCTCACCGGCAGTGCCACGGTCCCGGTGCTGTTCTCTAGCATCCTGGCCTCGGGGGACCAGCGCCACGATCTGTGCCGTAGCGAGATGGTGATAATGACAGGTGGGGCCGCGTCGCCTTGCTGGCCAATGTCCGCTTTGAGAGTGCAGGTATGCGCCGGTGTTCCTGTTTGGATACGTGTTTGCAGGTCGCCGAGTTGAATGACTGCTCCTTCACTCTCGCCATGCATGAGGGTCGCAGCTGTCAAGGATAGTGGAGGTGTGTACGTAACACCCCTCACCTGAAGATTTGCGACATGCCTGCGGCGCTTTTCAACCTCAGTGCACATTGCTGTCGTGGAATCCTGATCCGAGGTGCGTATTGCGCAACTATCTCTCTAGTGCACGGAACTGGCTCTTGAGAGGAACGTCAGGGCTTGAGAGAAACCGCGTCTTCCAGGTGCGGGATGAATTGCGACTAGGTGCAAGCTCAACGTGGACCTTGCGTCCCCAATTTTCAGTCCAAAGAAGAACAGTAGTCGTGTGACATGCCACCTGAAGTGCCAAGCATCAAGGTGGCATTCCAGCAGCTCGCGGAGAAACTGAGCAGGCTCTCCACTCCCAAGGCTGGCACACGCCTGCATCTGGACGGGGTCAGCAGGGCTGACAAGCACAGTGACTGCCGGCCTGCAGGAGGCTTCGGAGTTCCGGCAGCAGTTGAGTGGAGTCCAACTGAAGCAATCGACCAGTGTGGCTGGACGGAAGGTGCTGGTTCAGAACCTGGCACCAAGTCCCCGAGTCTAGCTAGCTGGGGAGACTTTCCCACCTTCACAAAAACTCTTGCCAAAACCGCATCCGATTGAGATCTGGATTAATATGCCTATCCTGTCACATCAGTGCTGGAAGCTGTAGTGCATTCTGATTTGCACCTGCAGCCAATGCGTCTTAATCGCGATTTCTTTGCTGTGCGAAAAAATGCATGCTTCCTTCTCAAGGCTCTGACCAAGGCTTCAACGAGCATCGTGAAAGAAAATGGTGTCTTACACAAGCATACCCGCAAGAGCAAAAATCCCCTCCATGAAAACAGGCTCGAGGGGCTCGCTGGAGTCGATTCGGTAAGATCAAGCAGCTCTGGACAGTAGGGACCTGGGACGGCAACATGCCGACCCTGGGAGCATCTGGGAGCAACCGGTTATGTTTCAAAGCCAATCGAGCCTCTGCTGGCAATGTAAATCCGTAGGTTCGATAGAGCATGGGATTCGAAAGCTCGCCGTACTCCAGAAAAACCTCCTCACCGGGCATGATGCAGCGCGTAGCTTCCAGACGCATATCGCCCGACGAGTCCAGGCGCACCTTGGCACACTTTCGGCTGGAATCGTGGTTGAAGGAGTCCAATCCGGGTACCAGTGTGGAGCGTGTGCCTCCGATTTCAAAGGCACGCGTGATGACCATGAGCCAGGCACGGAGGAACTCCTCTGAAGAATACTGAGGCCGCCTTTCCATGCCAATGAGACGATATCTTTCCATAACCCCCCAAGACAAGCGCTCGATCAAGTCTGCCTCACAAGAAGGACTGAGGCTGCTTCGAAAGCCTGTTGGGTTGTTTGCAGCAAGCCTGTATGGATGATGTTCAAAGGTCTCGCACAGGAGCACCTTGGCAAATAGATGCAGAATCACTCCTGGAGCACCATCCAACTCAGGAGCACCATCCCGTGTACAACGATTCAATAGGCCGGCCAAGAACATTGCCACCAAAAAAACATCGATGTCCTGGTTGTCAGCGGGCGCCTCACGTGCAACCACGGCGGCAAGAGCTGCCAGGTCTGGATCAAGGCGACGGATTAAACCAGGGGAAAGGTGAAATGCACTAGGACACACGGCAAGGACTTCTCCCTCGGCAACTGGTTCAGTAACGACAACGCCCGATACCTCCAGCATGCTCGAAGTTGCTCGCTCAATTTTCTGACTCCAGTATCCCGAGCTTTCCTGCAGAGCCCGTTGAAGCTCCACATGCCTGCGGAGGTCCTCCGCAGGACCTATTGCCGATGGTGCCACGAGTTCGCCATGCCGTCTTTGAACTTGGCACATGTATGTCCCCGACGATCCCGATGCGAGGCCTTTCGTGAATACCAGCGTGTCGCCAGGATCTGCCGCCGCCGGTACCGACATTCGAAGCATTCCTTCAGGTGCCTTCACCAAGACTTCCGAGATGCCTGCAGGGGCACATGCGCAGCTTGCGCGGCAGATGAAACAGGGGCAAAACGAAAGACGACGCAGTTTTCACTGACCGAACCTGGAACAGCATCTCCCGGCACCATCGCTCGCAGACACCTCAAGCACACACATCACAGCCTCCCCAAAAGTCATGCTCGGCCTATGGTTAGGGAAGGTCAGTCGGGCCGTGCGGTCGTTGCGACATTGAAGACATGGAACTGCAGACCACATCTTAGGTTGACATATTGAATCATATTGACCAAATGTTTTGAGCACGGCTCGCTACACAACACACTGCTCTTGACAGTCCATGAACGAGGACCCGAGACCTGAACACTTAAGCTGCGGGAGTCCAACCATCAGCACAGCGACAAGCACACATCTAGTCGCGGGATGGAGTTTTGTTTAGGTTCGGGGCTTGGTTGGAGATGCCTCGGAAAAAACATGTCTGCCACAGGGATTGTGTCAGGGGGAAAGATCTTAGCAACCCCAACGTCGATGGCATCATTGGAAGGTGCCCATTGCTTCGAACGGAGACCAGAAGGGTCAGGGGCTTCATTCTCGTGTCAGATCGTTGATTTTCTCACGTGGGCACAATGGGGAACTCGGAGGGGATATGGGACTCGAGAGCCGAGGGACGAACATGAATTCGCATTCCTGTCCTTTATGGATATCACAACCAATCTAAATGGTGGCGTGAGAGCACGTAGCCTGGCCTGGCTTCTCTGGGCCGTACAACCACACAACGCCAGCCCTGGTCTTTCTGGAACGCTATGCGCAAGACATCACCTGCCAAGCTTGTTGGAGAGACATGCACACTCCAAGACTCCAAGAGCTTCTGTTGACAGCAAAGCTTCTCACCGACAACTCCAACTGGAGACCCCAAGGTCATGAACCGCTGCGCCGCCCAGGCTTGGAGCTCTTCAAACTGTTAACCCAACTTCACAACGCGCCTGGAGCAGCCTCCTTGGGCAAGGGGAATGCAGAAATTTTCCCCTGGTCCTGCAGGCCGTGAGCACGTTCCATGTCTGGCAATTTGTTAGGCTCTAGACTCTAGCACTGGGTGCCTCCTAAACCATCAAGACCAAGAAGCTGGCATACGTGCTGCAAAAGTCAATAAACCCTGGTGATCACAAAAAGCTGGGGGTCAAGTCCATGCTTCTGGGGCTTAAACAAAATTTTGCTCTGGCCGTTCAGGCCCTGCTGCAGGCGTGCAGCCTGTCCTTCATTACGACTTTTGTGAGTCCAGGAATCGCATTCCGCGGCACGAGTACATCAGCGCGCCCAGAGGCGACCTGCAGACACCGCGCTTGGACTTCGCTCACGTGCAGAGGGTGTTCATCCCAAGTTCCTTGCATACCTAGCACACGGTACAAAGCGAGCCACACCACTTGCCAAAGCGACCTGCACGGCTCCATCCAATTAGAGGACAGGCCTACAGATGGTCATACGCAGACTGCCAGCCTTCACAATTAGGTGCTCCAGTCTGCGACGCCGACAACAACGCCGGGTAAAGGCAGCAGAGTCGCCAGTGCCCCCCTGATGCCAGGGCCATCTCAAAGAGTTGCCCATTTCACCGGCGTGCTGCACAAGGAAGAAACATGGAGCCTCCTACAGCTAAAAATCTACAGAGTCTGCTTTCGTCCACTAGCCGCCGCAGAGAAGCTAGATGCTCACATACTCTCGAAGGTAAACACCGTGCAGCCTGGCGTGAAGATGACCCTACCTGACATCATTCATGCATCCACATCAACAGGGGAAGTCGTGAAAGCTACGACGAAACTTGAAGGGACAAACTTTAGGTTCCCTCTCAAAGAGCCAATGCCAGGCAGGAATCCTCTTTTCTTGCATACAAAGCAGGTGTGTGCGAGGACAGGCCATGCTCAGCAGATTTGCAAGATGTCGTGGCAGGCAAGCATCCGAGTTCTACCGATGAGTAGGGCTGCAGGTGCTGCACATCACAATTCAAACCACTCTATCGCATCGCTCCACTGGCACCAGCCCGCACCCGCACACTGCACCGCACACCTGTTGACTTCCACGCCATTGACCCTCATAGGTGGAGCCATCCTGGCGAAGCGAAGGACGCTAAGCCGTAACGCCGTTTTGGTTGGCCCTATGTCGGCGAAGAGGAAATCCTGGAGGGTGAAGAGACAGTAGACTCGAACTGACTCGATCTCACCAAAAAGTGACCAATGCTGACCAACCCGGTCCGCGTGTGTGAAGCGACCGAAGCCGGTTGCTTGCCCGGCAGACCACTGGCCATCATAGAAGCTACCTGACACGTTGCTACAACACGCCGTAAACTGTTGAAGCACTCCCGGAAGTTGGAAGAGACAGAGGACGATGCTAATCGGGCTTCAAGCTAGGCTTAATGAAGCATGCTACATTACATAGACAAACGATCAAATCCGTCCTTCAACCGGCACAGGCATCTCAAATCTGCAGTCAGAGATCTGCCGTGCCGAACGGACACGGCTCTGTCTACGCACTTCAAGAGGAGCTGACCATTCGCGTGTCGCAGAATGCCAATGCCAGTTGCCAGGCGATCTGCCTGCAAGCATTGCTGGCACGTGCACATGTACAATGTACACTTGCACATGCGAACTGTTATATACTTGGCAGATTCAAACCAATGGTCTCCGTCGGTGACTTTTTTGCAGACCGTGCTGCAGTTATGCAGAGTAGAAGCGCAGGAAGGCTGATACACAAACTCCTGCAATCCACAGATCTCCAGCTGACCTTTCCCTCCCCTTACCCGGGTTTGCTTTTTTTCTCCAGAAGGAAGCAACCACCAGCAGACTTGAAGCAAAGAAGGCTTTCTCCCATATAACAAGGCAGCTCAGACAAAGCACCCACACAGGCCAACGGGTAGCGGCTAGCGGGCAGACCTCGAGCAAGGACCTTGTCCCGCCCGGCAGTTCCATCAGCACGTGCAACTTCTCCTCATGGGTAAGCATCGGTGTCACAAGTTCGGCAATGGAGGTCAAGCTCTTCAACTGGAGTGAGGATGCTTGTCCAGAAATTAGAAACTAATACTGCGGCAACTGGCTGGGCACTGTGACAAATCTCGCAATATTGCTATTTCAGGAATGGTAGCGGCTGCCTGAGTGAATAAGCATGCAGTCACACGCAACAAAGCAGGAAATACAACACCCTTTCTCCCACTTGTTGCATTAGTTGAAGCTGACGACTGTTGACATACACCCACACCTCTGCACCAAGCTCATCAAACTTTCGGATCTTCGCCTCTGAATTCGCCACTGCAGAAGGGGCTCGAGGCGACTCGACATGTTGTCGTGTCCTCCGGCTTGAATGCACGTGTCTGTACGGAAGCCAGCTGTTGCTACACACAAGGGTGTAATACCTGCTGCACGCGAAACGATACCCCGCTGTTCACTGAGGGTGTGTGAGCGTAGGGAACGTCTGCGGTCCTGGTGCGAGTCACTGCTGGCGGTGATGCTGCATGGACCTGACCATGAGCAGCGCCAAGTGCGTTCACGAGTGGGTTCTGACGCGACGAAACCTGAATGCTGAATGACCACCCTTGCCCAAAAATGCCCAGCTCTTCAGCCTGAAACACTTCATACCTCATAAATCAGCCCACGAAGCACCATGCATTATACCTGTAGTCTTGGAATCAAATGTCCAGTCTCGTCATCTTACAAGTTTTTCCTCTCGAAACGTGTGCTGTGCCAAAAGCTTTCTATCGAACCGTCTTGCGACGTCTAAAAACAAGTTCACGCTTCCGACACGAAAGCAGCCTGGCGGTTGCCGTCGCAATCATGGACCAAGTTCCTGTGTTGCTCGTGGAAAATTCAGAACAAATCCCACTCGGATAACCGCGGCATCGTGTGCTGTCACAAAGTCCGACAAGTGCGTGCGGTGTCAGTCAGTGACCGCATCTCATCCATCTCTAATCTTCATCAGTTCTTGCCGAAAAGGAGCATGTCGGCGGCATTGACGGTGCTTGATGACTTCGACCATGGATTGTCTGTGCACCTGCGCATCAAATCACTGGAGAACGCTAGTTTCGCACAAGACTACACAATCTACACGGCCAGCATTCTGCTCATCATGCTACTTGCCCCACCTAACCCCCTGCATGGAAACGCCGACGACGACGACGACGACGATGAAAAACACTTCGACCACCCCACCACCACAACAACAACAATACAAACTACCCCCACCACCACCGCCACGGACCACAACAACAACAGCAGCGAGAACGAACAACTTCATCATCACGAAGGGGGCAACAATCGCAAGCAACGGTGTCAACACTAGTTACACTGGTTGCAGATCTGTCCCGCTGGAACCACGGCCTTGTTGTTGGACCTTCGTGTTCACGGCCTTCCGAAACATGAACAACTAAGAAAGCTAAGATTTACGTGTTGCACTCATCACAAACCTGCGACTCACTGAGGCAAACACTCGTGACACATTGGCTGCACCCCAAGTTCGACCCCATGTCCGGATTGTTGTATTGATTCCTCACGTTTGGCTACGTTGTACTGACATTGTTGTCGTGGAATTCGTGACAACGTGAGCACACTGACCCCTGTCAGTTCGTTGCTTGAACAACGACCCACCGAAGCTTTTTGAAAAATTTGTGCCGGCGAAGACCCCAAACAGTATGGACGTAAAGATAGGACAAACATGCTATGACAAAAAAGCTTGTTGCGGTGTCCTGCAATGGATCAGTTCCTAATATGTAGGAATGCGTCTAGAGCCAGAAAACTATATTCCTCTCAGACAGGTGTCGGCTCATGACAGGAACACCAGCAAAGCTGAAACGCTCCAAATGCGTGTGAAAAATGCATTTTCGAGCCGGAAAACCAAATTAAAGCACCCGGTTGTTGAAACCACAGCCTTGGAAGGGCGCGGCTCAGTCTAGGAAGTCAAGCAGCGCACGTGGGTCGCTTTTGTCATGCGGTGCAGGCCGTGCAATGCAAATACTGTTGGAAAGGGCGCCTGCGCAAGCGGATCAGCCCACTACAGCTTTGCAAAGCAAGCAAACAAACAAAGCATTGTTCGGTTCAAGGGGGCTTGAGAAGGGGGTTTCCTAATTCTCGAACTTCAACGGAGCTTTGCGGGAAGGAGGTTTCAACGAGGTCTTTTCTTTTTAGTGCTTAAAGTCGCTGTTTCGGCCCTTGGATACGGTGTGTGGTAAAGTGCAAGTATCAGTAAGAAACATGACCACGTCACGCAAAACAGGGTTCAACATGGGACTGAGGATTGAAAAAGTCGTCGTGTGACATGACAATGTTTGTGAGAAGAACTTGGGAATGGGTGTAAAAAAAAAAAAGAAAAGTACATGCTTTCGGATAGCAACCATGAAACATCGTGATATGTCCTCACGTGATGTCCAAGATTGCAAGCTTATTGTTGATTCTTCTGGAATCAAAGAACGTGAGATTGTCCTTCCCCCCCTTTCTCCCCCTCCCAAAAACCAAGAACGTACTTACACCGCCCCTTCCCCCCCAGCCCCAGCAGTAGCAAGGAAAAAGTCGGCGCAGTTTTTCCCCGGTTCGTTGCCGCACTCGGTCCTAACGAAATCTACGAGAAAAAAGTAACAATGAACTAAAAAGCAACAAATAAACGGTGAAACAGCTGCGACCAACAGACTTAGCAAGAGTCGTTCAGCAATGAATTACCTGTCTCATATCAACATCGGCCTCTCTCAGATGCCCCGCTTCCCAGGGTCGCGCAATGGCAAGTCCATCGCCTCGATTCCCGCAAAGCATGGGTGGAGCAATGGCTCATTGGCAGCTTCAGCAGAGACAGCTGTGCCAAGGTCCGTAGGCAACTTGCGGACTTGACGTCCCAAATTGAAGCGGAAGGATGCCGATAAATTGCAGACTCGCCCGCTTCTTCCACAAAAGACTGGCAAGACGCCCAGAAACGAACATCTCCACCAGGTTGCAGAAGAAGACTGCAACTTTTTCCTGGTCGTCTGGCAATCAAAGGTTATCCATGCCACAACTCTCGCTTTTTGCACATTAGTCATCCGTGTCGCGGATGTCTGTTCAAGGCGCATGGAAAGGCTCTTCTGTCTTTCGGTGCGGCAAGTACAGACACTCTCCCCTGGACTTAGTCCGCATTTTGCAGCACACTGGACAGATAGCTCTTCCAAACGAAGCGAGAGGGAGCTTCACTCCGTGCTCGCAGTTTTTTTCTTTTTTTTGGTCTCTTGAAATCGGAGACCAGCTGCTTGGCCGCGGTCAGAGAGCGCACCGCTCCTCTTCAGTGTTGCACATTCATGAAAGCAGCTTATTGCCACACTTTGCTGCAACTTGGAGAGAACAGCTGTTGGATTTGATCTTGTTGGACAGAGAGAAGCCACTCAGCTTCTAGTGCTGGATGGCAGTTCTTCGCCATTGTTTCTATTGATCGCCAAGTGCCATAATCGATGCCAATTCATTCGTTCCAAGACCCTTTCGGCTAGCTCGACGTTGTGCAGGCAGTCTGCATTGTCACGGCAAGTTGCTTTGCATGAGTCTGGATGACCACTTTGAAGGCCAAACGACCTCAGAAAAAAAAATGAGTTGCGGCCTGTGTGAAATTTCATCCCTGTTTTGGATGTCCTGATGCATGTGAAGCTGAAGCTGTTAGGAGTGCTTTTGAGTTGGGTCTGTGACTGCACGTTCGTTTCGTTTCGTTCGTTTTGCACTAGTG